AGGATCTTTCTCAAATGCTTTGAAGAGAAAGTTTTATAAGCCTACAAATGTATTTTAATGAGTCTTAAACTGATTATATTTCTAAAACAATTTGCCTTAAAAAGGAAAAGGATTTGAAGAGAACTGAAAGGAAGGGTCTCTGTGCTGTTAACCTCCCCTAACATTGCAGCAGTTTGCACTTTAAATACACCAAAGGCACACAAATTCATTTTCCTTCAGTCTGCCCAAAGGAAGCAAAAGGCAACAAGTGGATGCAAGCTGCAGGAGCTTCCAGAGACAAGACAGAAATGTGGATTTGCAGTGGAAGCCACACTTTCCTTCTGCTGGGGCACGAACCTGCCCTGGACTCTGGCACAGACCTGCACCCCTTCAGCTACGGCTGCTCCACCACCTGCACTTCCCTCTAACATTCCAACAAACACCAATCCCACTTCCTTACAAGAAATTTGCTATTATTTGGTCACTTTTTTTCTTGGTCAATGCACTCCGCTTTTGGTTTTTAAAGTTCCTGAACAACAAACACAAAGGGAACCATGGTCTAGCCCATGTAAAGACAACTGCTGATTTTTTTTCCCTCTTCTTAAAGGGAATTTTGCCAAAAGATGGGCTGGGATCACAAACCATACCCTCTTCTTTAATTACTTAGCTTTTGCTCTTGACTTGGCAAAACATTAAGCTTTTCATTTCAGTAAATCTATAATTAACTCCAGCATGTGCTGAGTAAACATAACCTCACTTTTAATTAAATCTTAGAACAAGATGGTACAAAACTTGCTGTTTCTAAAGAGAAGTACCTCTCAAATAATGGGGAAAAAAATCTAAGCCTTGTCAAATAAGAAACTTGACTCCAGATTTGAGTATAATCCACCTTTTAAGTCATTTGTTCCCCAAGCATGCATTCCAGCTATAAGACCAAAATGTAAACCTGAAAAGCCACCACTACACATCAAAAGATTCCAAGGCTAAAGTCAAACCAAATCGAAATGGTAACAGCAAAACAGAGAACTTTGGCTTTAGGACTCTTCAAGAACAATTTTTATAATGCATCTCACTGGATTTTTTTTTTTTCAAATGACACAATAACTATTATACAAAGAGAAATATTATTTCTCAAGAATGAAAGGAGCTGAAGTATCATATGCATTATGAGCACCAGATACAAAGGGGAACTATCTAGTTAGTAATTTGTGAGTGAAAGAATTCAGAAAGATTCAGAACATTTCCTTCTGACTGTACATGCCTCTAGAACTAACTTTACAATTCTAAGTTAAAATGAAATACCAATTCACTAAACAAAAGGAGAAATCTCTGAAAAACTAAAGTTCAGCTACTGTGAAAACACAGTGTCATGTCTAAGTCAAGCTCTTACATGAACTAATGTAATGTAATAAAATAACATCTTTCGTTTGTGCTGATTTCTTCCAGTAACATCTTTGGTGTCACACATTTCCAAATGGCCCTCGAGACTTTAGATTATTTAAGTACTACATTTAAATAGTAGAAAACTTCACAAAACTTACTTCATGTTCAAGAACTGCATTTACCAGAGCCAAATAAATGAACCAAGAAACTGTTAAAGACAGCAGCTACAAGATTTACAATTTGCAGAACAAAAAAATGTTGTGCATTTAAATGAAAACAAGCCCTCAAGAGAACTTTAGAACATTAAATCTCTTTTTACTTCTCTGCAACTCTTTAATCAGCTCCTCTCTGAAAGGCAGAACCTCTCAGGGATTCTGATTACCCCAGAATGCAGATACTGAATACTCTGCATTAGGCAGAAACTGGTCCACTTATTAATCTTATCTAAAGTATATTCAAAATATGACATTAAGAGAATTCCACAAAGCATTTTCTTCCAGACACTTGCTATTATATTTCAGTTTCAACATGCTTATTCTGGACAAATTTTTCCCTTTACTTCACATCAAGTTCAGCTGAGTCAGCTCTGAGCAGTTCTCACAACAGCTGAGGAGGCTGATGGAAGCCCCCTCAGCAGTGGCAAATCAAACACAGTCTTGAGGCCAAAGCTCAGGAGCTGACCCAAGGGTGGCAGCGATTTGGGAGTGTTTGCTGAGCACAAAGGAAGGACTGTTAGCCACACTACCAGAGTACCACTGCACAGAGGGTGCTTCTCCCATCTCCAAGGGACACCATTTCCATGCTTCACCTCATGCCCATTTTCCATCATCAGTCCTGTATTGCCTGATTTCTTCAGGAAGCTAAAGCTGATATCTTCACTGGCTGCATGTATTTTTATCATTCTCTTTCATCTCCTCCCTTAAGATAGTTTTTTAAAACTCACTGAACAATCATGACCATACCAGAGAAAAGCAGAGTGGTTGTCATTATTAAATTATGCCATGATTTATTAACACAAGTACTTAGGAGATTAAGACCTTGCCCATCCCAGTGCAGATAAACCACAGCACAGGCTCAACCTCTATCAGAGTCTGAAGAATCTCTACAATCAGACTAGAGGCTTAAATCTAAATCTTAAATGCACACCACTTCAGTTAGTTTAAAATTTGATTTCTATAAGGCAAATCTTAAAAATGAACACTGAGAACACAATTGTGGAACAAAACCATTAAAAATGCATAATGAATCAACATATGCTATTAATTGCATTGTTTCTTCCAGCTCTTAATCACAATTAAGGAAGACACAGCAAAGAATCATTCTTAAGAATTAAAATGTAATAGAACAGTGGGGTTGTTCAGACACGTAATAGCAAACATTTACCATCCAACTCTTCTGTAGCTGCAGGAAAGATATTTTTTAGCAACTGATTTAGGATATTATCAAGAGTATCTTCCTAGATATCCATGGAATTTTGAAAAAACTGACAGTACTTTTAACACCAGACACTGCGAATGGAGACCCAGGAGAAATGCCAGGGCAACCACTCTGAAGTAATTTCTATAAATGACTGTCATCTAAACTCAAAAGCTCTTTTTAAATGCAGATCTTTAAATTCTGCACAAGTAGAAGCTAAGTCATATCTTAAATGGTTCCTTTTTATAAATTAAGAGCCATTTAGAGCTGTCTTTCCCTGGCAGTGCAGTGTCTGCTGCACAGAAAGCAGTGAACAGGCAGTAAAATGATGCACTGCAGAAATCCCATCCTAGTTCAGCTGAACTTTGCCAGCTTTCCCAACAGAATGCTAGCTGACACTATAATGAAGATTCATGCTACCAGTATAATTAAGGATGAAACAATTCATCAAAATTTATTATTTTGCTCTCCTTTTCCAATTGTTGAACGTAAGTGTTATTTGAAACCCTATTTTGTTTTTAATGAAGTCTTTGAAGTCTTCACAATTTTACAGAGAACATCTAAGAAAACACACTTGGAAACCTTTGGGAATTCCTAAACTTTTGTTTAGGAAACAGTGCAATAGATTAACTCTCCAGTGGGCAAATAATGCAGTGTGAGTGAAAGGCTAATCCTGCTTGGGCTGGTAACACTTGTGTGACATCAGTCCCACTGACAGTGACAGGATTAGTACCAGCAGCAGCAGTGGCACGAGGGACACCACCACAAACACAAAGGCCACACACTGCTGCAGTCCAAGTGCACAAGCAGGCAGCACCAGCAGTATTCCTAAGCAAGCAAACTTGTCATGCACACAAAAAACACATTCAGGGACAATGCTCAGGACCAAATTTTCTATAAACTTCAGGAGAAATTTAATGCAGCAAGTCTCAGCTGATACCAGTTCCTAATCAAATGTGGTAGACTCCAAATCAACTCTTCAGTAATGTAAATTATCCTTTTGAAAGTCTTTTTTGGAACCTTTTTAAGTTAATGTGTGAAGTTTTGCAGAAAATGTGTCACTTTCTCTTTGAACAAGTCTTTTCTTTCATGGTACAGCACCATAAGGTAAATTATCTTTGAGGAACATAAAGCACACTCAAGTCACTCCTTTCTTTTGAATGTAGGACATCTGAAAATTGATGGAAATTTTATTGGCCCAGGGTCATAATGTTTAACAGGTTTATCTAATTTCATTCCAGAGCATTTACATAGTCATATACATTTTTTTTTCTTTCTAATCATAACCATCCTTTGACTTTTTTTAAGCTGTCTAGAAAAGTGCAAGGAAAGGACAGCAAGATTTCTGCACCCAAAACTTCAAGAAGCATTTGCAGTACATTTTTTGAGAATAAACAATGTGAACTTAAAACACATGAAGGTCACATTGAGAAATTAGTTAAAATAGAGCCAAGAGCTAATCCTGTTAGATTAAGTTAGACCAGTTTTTTGAAATCATAGCCTTAAATTTTTATCATCTCTGCAGATCAGAAAATGCAAATACACCAGAGAAAAATTAAAACCTAAAATTAAAAAAGTATTTGAAAATCACCATCATCTTATCTGAACAGATATAAGGGTGATGGAAGAGTAATAATGTTTTATCTGCTTATCAAAGTATTTAGAAGACAAAATCATTCAAAATCTGCCTATGGCCAACTTTTTCTGACTTTGTGTGGTATTTACTTTGAACAAGTTTTGCTTTTTTATTATAAACTATCAAGACAACATTTGTTATCTACTGTCACAATGAGATCGAATTGCCATAGGCAAAGCTACTAGACATGTGTCTTTTTAGAAAATACGAGATTGGGGCTGTTGGGTGAAAAAAAAAAAGGAGGAAAGACCGGAATCCTTTCTATTGTGGAAAATTGGAAGAAACATCATTTTATCATAATGACAGTTGTCATTGGCATTTTGTGTCTTCTCAAAGAAGTTCAATATTTTCTTGATACGATGGCAAAAGCTGTTAAATAAATACATTTTTCCCACTTCAGCAGCATTGTTCAGGACTCTGCAAGCACACAGAGCACAGCTTTTCTCTAACTGGAGCACACTGGGAGCAATACAAGGTGCAATCCCTGCGAGTGCAGGGTGTAGCACTCGGAGCTCCCACAGCTGCCCACGTGGCAGGTGAAGCTGCAGGGCTGTGTCAGGGCTGGGACCCCAGACACTGCACTCACCTGCAGGGAGGTATTTCAGCTGGTTGTTTGCCAGGCGAAGGTGCCGCAGGGACCTCAGGCGGCCGATCTCTGGGCACACGATCTCCAGGGCATTGTCACTCAGGTCCAGAAACTGCAGCTTAACCAGGGAGCCAATGGCTTGTGAGAGAACAGATTAAAACGTGAATGTGACCCCAGAGTGACATGAAAATCTTCACAGGACTGCGAGAGGACAAGCCACAGCACCCAACAGCTGTGTCTGAGCATCTCGAGGTGTTAAAGCCAGTCTCACAGCTCAGTGACACCAATTGTGGAAATGCTGCTCTAGCTAACAAATAGCTCTGCTGGCAGTGAGATGGGTAACAAACACAGGGACGTACAGAATACTCCCATCTCCAGATCCTCCTCAGACAATTCTGCTCTGAAACCACCTTCTTCATTCTCTTCCTTTGACTCTATCCAATTTATATTCAGAAAGAGCCTAAATTGAACACAAATTCCTCAAGTTGGGAGCATAACTGCAATTAAGGCAAAGAAAAGAAACTAGTACATGTTCTTGCTCCTTTGGGTTTCAGATCTGTCATGCTCTAAACCAGCAGAGTATTCAGTGTGGTAACTGCCTGAAAGCAGCAGACACTCTGGATTTTTAGTTTCTGCAGATGAGTGCCATTTAGCCTTTTCACTTTCTGCAATTAGAACTGGAGCAAACAGCATTTAGGTACATTTGAGAATTCATTAAAGGAATTTAACATAGCATAAACAAGGACATTATCAACTAAAAGCTACACTGGTATATTTTGTATGAAAATCTTTAATGTTTAATGGGAAAAATAAAGGAAAAGTAGGCCTCTTCAAAGAAGAAAAATGAATATTTTATGATTCCTGCCACTTATTGTGAGCTGGTAGATTACTTACCTTCAGGTACAACAACTATGTTATTTGAATGAAGGTACCTGGGGGGAGGAGAAAAAGCAGAGGACACCACCTGTTACCCTCAAGGACTTCTGCTACATAATCACTTTGCAAAATATCCAGTTTCAGACTGAAAGAGCACCCTCAAAGCCATTCCTCCCTATGACCACAAAGCTGTGGAAACTGTATAAACTGGCAATGGACAGGTATTTAAGTTTCACTTGGATTATTAAATGATTAGCATAAAAATAAAAGAAAATTACATACAATTATGTAAAACAAACCATGCACAGTTACAATAATAATGGGCTTTAATTTTGCAAGTCATATGGAGGAAAACAAAAATGGAAAAGAATAAGCAGAGAGAATAACCAGAATAAATTATATTTGATCACCAGGTTATTTGACACTAAATGCTGGCCAAGGTAAGCAAAAAAGCCCACACCCACACAAGTTATACAATTACAAACATTTTCCCCTACACATAAACTCTCACACCTTTAGTGAAGAAATAAGCACATGATCTATTCACCGAAAATGGGTTTTTCAAAGTTAAAGTACATTTTTCAAAAGAAAAACCCAATCTTGCACATGGTTATTTATGCAGCTACAGAGGGTGGCCAGATCTCTCACTAAGAATATTCAGCACCCTCTGATGGAGCACTTCCAGTACTTCTGGTAACATAAACACTGATCTTAGATTTTACACATTTCAGATTTCAATCATCATTGCTGCAAAAGAACAATTGGAGCTTGTAGAAAATAACAGTAACAAAATTTTCCAATACTGATATCCAACTGTAAAGGAATATTGAGTACTCAGTGTTCAATTGCTTCGGCACACAGGAATTATTTTCATGGCATATTTTTTCCTGCTGTATTCCAAGAGCATTTCCTAAAGTAGGAACCTTTCTTTTCAGGGAGACAGAACAAGGGAGAAGACATAGAAACATTTCAGCTGCATGGGGCACCTGAACCTTCTCCTTCTCTTTAAAAATTGTACTTTGCTAAAAACTTAACAAATATAAGAATAGCATACATTCTTGTAGAAACATAGGATGAGAATTCTCCTATCCATTTCAGCTGCAGCTCCTGAAAATATTTGTGAACTAATTCACTTAAGCTAAAAAATATTATGTATTTTGTATTATGAGGAGCTACACCTCATAATCCAGCATCAGGGGCATGATATACAAAGAACAACACACAAGTGAAGGATGTGACTTTTAGGAAAATAAAAATAATTTGTCTCTCAAAATTGAGAGCTACTGTACCAAATTATTGTTTAAATAAATCCTTATTTTGTGGTCTCTTTGCCAACAAAACACCTCTCATTGTCTCATCAGAAACTGACTTGTCCTATTAGAGCTACACAAACCACAGGCCCTTTGCAGCTCTCTCCAGACCACCAGAATGTGTGGGATAATGGTGGCACAACTGAGCTTGCTGAACACCAAATAATTAGGCTTGACTCCTATAAATCAATGTTTGTGAGAAATTATTTTAAGCTGTCATTTAAACAGGTTTTCCTAAAAGCAGTATCAAATAACACGGAGGTTTCCTGGTGCCCCATGACATCAAATATAAAAATATTAATTCTACTACTTCAGAGCACAAACACTCTCAAGACAGAGGCATGATCAGAGAGGATTTGCTCTTGAGTGAGTCAGAGACTGCAGTGACCCACAAACCAGTTCAGTTACACTGTGGACACAGGCACCAGAAAGGTCAAAGGGCCACGTGAGGGTTAAAGGGCCACCTGAGGATGACAAGATCAGGCAGCTGAGGGCATGGACTCCTCAGATAAACACCTCCTGTGTGGAGCTGGCCATTGAATAAACAATCAGTGCTCCACCAGTTACTCATCTGAAATTGAGACAAAGGGCTTAAAAGGGGAGAAGAGGGTATCCTTTTAACCCCCCACTGCCAATCCTACCACAGAAGGGAATCACAACTTTATAAGAAAAAAAGGGGAAGGAAGAAAACATTGTCTCAGGGGCTTAATTAAATTAATTGTCAAAATAATCCAGTTCATGGGACATCCATTTTTTGGACAAGACTGGATTAACTGCTCTGCCTACAGCAATCATTATTCCACAGTTACTACCCCTACATGCTGATCCCTGCTCCTATTTGACAAACTGTGACTTGGTTCCAAAAAATGATTACTACAATCAGCAAGACTGAGATCATAAAACCCCTGGGAGCTGGGGTGGGAATGAGCGGCCAGGGATGGGCTGGAGGCTGTAACCTGTTACTCTGGCTCTGTCACGACCCTCTGACCACTGCACTGGGAGGTTCCAAGGGTTTATCAGTGTGACAAGTCTACACAGAATTTATGGGGTAAGATTTTTTTCCCTTATCAGTATAGACACTGGTACAAAGGTTCTTCTCATATAATAAACAAGAAATTTTTTAAATATTAAAATTGGACTTAATACACTTCTGTCAGAAAAAAAGTCCAACAAACAAATTTAGAAAACACAACAAAAAAATTACCCTTTCTTGCCCTCCAAGAAAGCCCTCTGCACTTAAGAGAGAAATTATGTGCAAGTAATAGATTCTAGATTATTTTAAGATGAGACAGATAAGCATAATAAAAATATATTAGAACTCCTACACAAACTCACAATTCCACGAGGTTTGGAAGCTTCTGTGCAAGGTTTTCTGGCTGAAAGAGAGTTAGAGATTTTTTTAGGTTTTGAAACAAAAACCAGACACACAAACATTGTGTACCTAAGTCATTTTAACCACCATACTATAACATGTCAGCAGGAAAAATGGTAACAGGGAATGTCTATACAATACCCTGGTTCCATACCCAAAGTATCCATCAGAGCACTCCTATGTATCCTGGGTGAGCAATTCACTACTGAACAAAACTGGAGCCTGGAAGTGACATTTTCATGTCCTCAGCAAAATGGGAGTTAGATTTCTGAGGCTGAAAAGATGGATTACCTCACCTCCTTTTGAAAATATATTCAAATAAATGAGTTGAAGGCAAGAGATTGCTAAGAAGTTGCAGCCTTTACAGATTTCAAGCAGAACAAGAACTACACAAGATGTCTAACCAGAATGTATTTTATAATGCTGCTAAACTGGGAAATGACCTACAATCTTTGTGTAGCTTGATCAATTACCACCAAGCCAGAACTGCTGAATCCATCAAACTAGATTTTCATATTTACATATTAACATGCATATCATTTCCTAACTGCCAACTGATCCCTAGCTGTAATTCTCTTCCTTGGTGGCATTTTTAACTATGAGCACATATCACAAAATTGGCTTCACAAGCTTCAGATGTCGTGTTGGAAACTATACTCAAAATTATTCAAAGTTAAGACAGTTTTTATTGCTTAAGAAACTTGCTTTAACATAGATAGCTTTTACTGAAAAAAGGGGTTACAATATTGATATATGCAGAAATGACTGCATTTCAAAAGCAGCTTGATCACATAATTAAATTCCTGTTAAAACTAGAAATGTTCATGTGAATAAACATGATGTATGATACCTTAAATAGCTATAGCATCTAAAATACGTGACTTTGTGTTCATAAGTTGACGGTAGAGGAATGTGCCGGCCTGAAGAGGGCGCTATTCCCAGGCAGCCAGCGCGCCCCGGGCTGGGGCCGGGCGCAGGGCCCCGCCCGGGCCGGGCGCGCGAGGACCCGCGGCGGTGACGTCACCCGGCAGGCGCGGCCGCTGGTCCGGCGCTGCCCCCTGGCGGCGGCCCCGCCGCGCCGCAGGGACCGCCCGGGCCGGGCCCGCAGCGCGGCTCCAGCACAAACACGATCCAGCCCCAACTGAGAACGGCCGGAAAAACCCACCGCACGGCCATCCTACAGCCTTTATTACAATAAGGATGTTAACCTGAACCACGGACTATTGTCACCATTTCACTGCTGCTCTGTCACAACAGGACAGCATCACACATTCTGAGGTAGGAAATGAAGATCGATTATTCTTGATCTTGCTTCCGACAGAGCTAACAAGGCAAACGCCTATTTCCTTTTAATAGATGAGGAAATTGGGTACTGGAAGGTTGATGTTATCAAAGATTAACTGAGAAGTGGGAAGATTTGATGCTGGGATACTGGTGTGCTGTATGAATCCTTGATCCATTCATTATGTCACAGCACTCCATCACTTCCATCTTGCCAATGGAGACAAAAATTAAATTATTCTTAGCCAAGGTAAATTCTGTCAGCATAACTATCCCAGACATTTCATAGGTATCATCTGTCAAGGACAAGAGTCATTTGAGAAGAGTAAAGAACAAAAGCTGATTTAGTAATTTATTTTCAGAATTCTGAAGGAATGAACCGGTGGGACAAAAGTACCACCTAATCTTAGAGAAATATGGTTCAGGTTCCGTTTTGATGGTTTTAAGTAACACTCATGCAATTTGAAATGTTTATTGATGTGCTACTGCTCATCACCTTGCATTAGAGAAGTATAAGGAAGACACATCTTCCTTCAATAATTTGTTTTCAAGTATTCTCAAATGAGATTTCTATTCCTCCCACTGCCCCAGTGTACCTGACTTACTATGACTTTACTAAAATTGAGGGCCTACCAGTAGTGGACATGGAAAAACCTCTTTATGAAATTCTGCTCTGTAAAAATAGCTGTGATTTCTGTTTCCCCCAGTTCCTCCTGTTTTTTCCTCTCCATCAATCTTTAACCTATTCTCTCAGGGCATGCTCGCTGAAGGTCCCTTGCTGCTGCTCTCTAGGTTCTCTCCAGTTCACCCAGGCTGTTCACGAGTATGAAACTCTCTGCTCCAGCTTGTGCTTTAACAGTATCAATAATTACTTCCTTCTGCTTTTAATTGAGATTGTGAAACTTTCCACGTTCCAAAAAGACATCTGCCTTTTTTTGTAACATGCTGCTGACTTGATCTATTTTGGTCCACTACAACTTCCAACATCTCTTCTGTGGAACAGATGCTCAGTG